CAAAGACCAGGGCATGCTTTTGACCACGAAATCACCTCTCTTAACACTTGTTTGGTGAAGTACTTCAATTTATTTGCTAACTCGACGTTTAAAAAGTCCTAAAAAAAGAGCACCAAAAACTTGTACAAATTAAATTTTTTGTGAACTTCTCGACAGACCTCTAAAAAGATATCCTTTAAAATTTCGAGAGAATACGCATGCGTCAATTATACTGACCTCTGGCGGGACGGGCGGGAAGGGGATGTTCTCTATACAGTGATAAGACTCATCGCTTGTACACGGCATGACCAGCTTGAAGTCGTTGTGCCTGGTCTTAAATTCGACCCCATTCAAGACGGCGGAGATCTCCCCCATGCCCACGGTTCTATCGTAATTAGCATGATCGTGGTAGGCTGCTACGCTGTCTCGCACGTGGGAGGGCGTGTGATACGGGCGCGTGCCTAAAAATAAAGATCTTTTTTAATTTTCTTATTTTCGTGAAAACGAGGGCCGAATTTGAAGGTGGAAGTTGGATGGGCGCACCCAGTAAAAAATATATACACGCAAAACTCACACGTAAACGTTATGCACGAATGTACTCACACATGCTGTTACCGTAAACAAATGCACACATACACAAGCATACATTCAGGCAAGATCACATACACACGCACGTACGCGCACAAACAAACCGGAACACACGCACATAAACACAGGGAAACGTGAGGCAGGATAAAAATAACCAATGGTGTTTGGTGAATCAAACTGACATCAACCTTATATCCCCAAAAACATTTTTCATGTTAAAATTGAGCATCTGATCTCAAGGTGATCTTTTTTTAAAGTAGTCACAAAAATATAACCTTAAGCAAACACTCGATAGCCTACACATAAACTGACACTGATTTTAAGAGTGGTGATTTCTTACCGGCAATATCCATTCGAATCTGCTTGATTCCAGACGCCCCGTCGAACCTCGCTTTCTCCTCTACTATCAACTGCTGCATCATCAGCTGGTTTGCTAGGAGATCCACAACGTTCTGGAAAGATGAAAGGCAGTGGCGAATTTCTAAATAAATCACACCAATAGTGCCCTCTTGGAATTAGGTCCCCTCTAGAATTTTCACTAGCTGAACCATACATGTAGGTCCAGGGCCAGTAGGAGGGGGTGGGGGGGTGGGGTGGGGGTGGGGGTCCAGGACCAGCTTCGCATCCCCAGCCTGTCTTTATAAAAACCGGACACCCCCCCCCCTTCAAATAATCCTGGATCCGCCCTGAAGGGGGTTGCTATTTGTCAAATATGATGTGCAATATATAGTTATCAGGAAATATTCAAAACATTTAAACGGGGATTTGAACGGAGTTAAGAGGAAATTTTATATCCAACGTGGTTTGAAATTTATTCTCAAAATATTTATAAAAAAATATGAAAGAAGTAAATTTAGAGGTAATTTTCAGTCAAACATGATTTACAACCAATCATTATCAATGAAATGATTTAGCGTCGGAACAAAAAGTTGAATGAGATAAGAAAATTGTGAGGTAAACTTTATTTGTAACCTATCCTTATTATTTATTTAAGCAGAAAAAATTATGAAAAGAACAATGATATAAGCAACATTTTCTCTCGTAAAGATAACTTCAACCGATATTTTAATAATGATTTAAAAATGCTACCAAATTCGACATCGTTTTAAAGAGATGGAAGTTGGCAAGGCAATATCGTTAAATAACCGAAAATAAAACAGTTTACAAAACCAGACAATTACTTACGTTGGCATAGTATTCCCCACTTGATTAATTATCTTTACCTTTAAATCTTGAACCATAGAACTTATCTCTGACAATGTAGGTGACGCCTCAGCGTCCTGGCTCTTGACATTGTGGATGACCACAGCCATGAGTGGTAAGAGAAAACTCCAGAGAAATTGCGTCTTCATCCTTTCGCGTCGCTCTCCCAAAGCCAAAGTGTGCAATTCTGCCAGTCACGCACAGTCTGTTGGGTTTGAATTATTTGCCGAAGCCCTTTCAATTTACATACAACGAAAACAACTGCCATGCGGGCTTTGTAAAATAATCGCTTCACGCAGATTATCAGGTGCAATATTATTTCAAATTGGCGATTGATTAATTACTTGCTTCATTCATTCATTTGAATACAAATTGATTGAAATATTTATGCATTTACATATTGACTCCTGATTTTGGTTTATCTGTTTTTTTCCATTCATCTCAATAACTTTTATTTTTTCGTGTACTTTGCTTCCTTTATTTATTTATTCATAATTAGACCATTATCATTCTCAGAAATGGGACACTAACATTAAAATAACAAAAGCAAAACCGTCTGTATACCTATCCAGTAGTACAGCAAATAACACTCTGGGATAGAGCTGTTGTTATTCTCCAGTCAGTTTCATCGTCCTTTGCGTCTGATAGTGATTGAACAACAGACCAGACGTGCTATTATATATATATATATATATATATATATATATATATATATATATATATATATATATATTTATTTTGAACAAAGCATTATGTAACACCACTGTGACTATGATGGCAGTTATATACACAGCAGCTGTTTTTCATACTTGATTATTCAATGTCTGTATTTTCATATATATCTTTGTGTTGTGTTGGTAAATTTTTTTTATTCCTCACTCAATGTTCACATGATAAGCGAGTTGCTGTTGTATTTTTATATTCCCGGTGTTTTAAAAAATCTTGAATGTTAGACTGTTGTTGAATTTCTCTCTTATTTTCAGCACCTATTTTGTAAATGCAACGTGTTATTTTTGTCATATATTTATTGTCACTGCTTTGCTTGAAATGAATACTGATTAAACATGGGATACGAGAGAGAGAGAGAGAGGGAGAGAGGGAGGGAGACTACAGCTTTCAAATGCATGTACATGTATTTCATGAGAGAGAGAGGGGGAGAGAAAGAGATTTCCCACGAAAGTTTTGGTCTGAAGCATCAGTCACGACTCTAGAGCTTCATTTCTGACTTCATTTTGGACAACTTCCAATTTATCTTGTATCAAAGTTTTATCAAATATTAGTCTAAAAGATTATACCATATATCTTATACCCCTTTTCCTATTATTGTTTTAAATTTTTAGTCTTAAAATTTTAAACTAAACTTGATGAAGACACATCCGCACACAGCCTCTACAGACCACATCCCCGAACCTGTCCAAGAGTGTAGGCCAGATGTATCTCTCTATTATGGCGGTGGCGTGAGAGCCACAGACATCATTTTCCACTGCGTGTTTGATTCCGCTGTATACAGTATCCTCTGCATCGAGGATCAAATGGTTGTTAATTATACGCCAGGTTGTTTTTAGACATGAGTCAATGTATGCCAGAGTCTGCGTAAATTGTGCAATATCCTTTTCAGATGACAGCGTGGTTTTTTCAAGTATTTGCTGAAAAGCAACACAAAGACGGGAATGTAAATTTGAAATGCAAGCAACGTAAGTGTTATACTTGAAATGTAAGAACAAATAGTTGGATTACACATAGTGCTATGGACACATCAAGCTTAGCATGATATAAGAGTATGCATTGGTCTTGTAAGACTTCCCAGTAAGACTGGCGCTTTCGGTACTGTAAAACAAAAACCTTTAGAACTACAGATGCAGAAAATAGACTATCAGTGTGTCTGTCATACATTAAGCGTGGTGGTAGTGAGAGCTTACGAGCTACAGACATTTTAGCTATTTCATTTTTTTTTGTATTCTTAGCGCCTGCTATATACCGGTGCTCACTGTCACCTTTATTCATAACATGCCCTATTACCTCGCACAAATCGGCAAAACTTGCCGTATCGGTATCAGCTAGGTCTGCCCAAAAGATGAAAAGCGACTCCTCAAGCCAAGGTGGTAAAGTTCTTTTCTTTTCCTGATAAAAAAAAAATAATAATAAATTGCCATTTCCAATGAAGTGACGTCATGTATTGGACACCATGTGATTTTATTTTGTTTGTGACGTCACATATTTAGCATTGTTTGCGTGACGTCATACATTCAAATGACGCAAAAATGCCATGTCACGGTGTCACATATAATTATAAACTATGTTAACTAGTTCTGTCGCTCTGAGCTGAAGTATTTTAAAATAAAGCTACCATATGCAATACCTGTAAATTTACTTTTTCACAACTCACCTGTTTTTTATCTCCATTCCCACCAAACGGTTGTAAAAGTGGTATGATGAAATGTTCCTCCCTGTGTTGGATCACAACAGCATAAGAGGCCTAATTGGTAGCCGTGAGCAAACAAACAATTTAATTGATAAATAAATTTAAAAAATGATAAAATAAACATATAAAAAGGAAGAAAACATAAGTGGTATTACACAGAAGTTATAAACAAAATTAGTTCTAATAGAAATGTTTGACTTCATTTCAGAATCATGAACTGCCGCCGATTGAAACCTAGATATGGGTGTTTCTTAAGAAAATATGTTATTTACAGCACAGTAGCATATTCAGAGCACATAGATTGCACTCAGCATATGGTCTATAGTAGTAATATGTGTGTTTAACATTCAAGTTTAGATATAGGTTATTTTGGCAGGTCCATAATTTTAATTAGTTAAAAACTAAAAGACTGCAATGAAGGCAACTGTATTGTCTGTGTTGACCTTATCTCGGCAGTTATAATACATGATTGACTAACTGACTTTACCATGAGTATATCAAATAGAACACGGTCCATGTCAAGGTCACCACGGAGGTTATTCAGCTCAAGACGAGCCTCTTTCCATTGTATGTTCTTTAGACTTAAGTATTCCTCCTTTGCAGCATGGACTCGCATTTGTTGGCCTGTCACTGTCCGCGTGATCGGATCACTAGAAAAAAGAGGAGAAAATCCATGTAAGCAATTTTAAAAATTAAAATTGATAGGGGTTATTCCAAAGTATACTTTCACTTTCACATACATGTACAGTCTTTGTCATCCGACCAATTTTTAAAAAATATTTTTATATCCGGATAAATAAGACAAAAAAAAAAAAAAAAAAAAAATACATGTAAGCAAAGTATCTATAGTTATCTTAATTTGTAGAGGTAGACAGAATAGCGTGGTGTCGCAGAAATATTAATAAAGGGAAAGAAACGTTTCAGAGTACCTCGAAAAGTACAGTGTATAACTTAAGTTGGCCTTTTTTCACCTAAAATGCTTCCGAACTCAATATTATTCCCGAGTATCTTAATCCTACCTATTACGTGTAGTATCTGATTCCTTTGGTTTCAATCTTCTGTAGACATTGGTAAAAGTGATTTCATGTTCTGTCAACGAAGGCGTGTAAGAGACCCGTACGAAACAACTCCGTCTTTGAGAACGCCTAGAAGTTGCTGTCACTCTCGTTGTTGTCGTTCCTGGTTTGTTCTTGGTGGTGATGACGTTTTCTGGATGAGTTGCTTTTTCTTGTGTTTTGATGAGATTGTTTTGAGCGGGTCTCGGCTTCGGGTTCGTGTCAAGAGCATTAGGTTTGAGAATTAGTTTGAAAAAAGATCTTACACCCGTCGCCTCTTTTTTCTCGTCCTTCTTTTCATTCTGGCTCAAACTTATATTTGCATTATTTCCTGGAGTCGACGTGCATTTGGGTTGAGTCCTGCTTAAGTCAGGGCCAGCAGCAGTGAAGCTTATATTATGGCTGGCAGACGCTGGCGTGTAACTAACCCGCAATAAAAGGTTTCTTTTCTTGTCGCCTCCGGAAGAAGAAAACCCAGATCCCATTGCGGTAGGTGTTCAGGCAGTCACTTTGAAGATTGTCCATGCGGCACAGTTTTCGGTTAGTTACACACGTGTATGTATTATATACAAAATCACAGGCCTTTCTACATTCCCTGAGACTACGTGTACCTTTTATAGATGATATTTCATTATTCACTGCACGCTCTCATAATCAAGAGATATGCCAATACGATAGCTAATGTTGATATGTAGTAAATGTACCTTCATATACTGTATATATACACTACATGGGTTAGAGGGGGTATCGGCGTATACATCGGCTATCAGTAATTGAATTGCATTATCAATATACCGGTGCGTTAATTATCGATCATACTTGATAAACTTGGTGATCTTTTCTCTTTTGTATTCATACGTATAACATAGGGTTACAGGTTGTGGACACTTACTGTCACGTGGCGCTATGGGCCACATGATATACACGCGCGCACTGGAGGACCCAGGGCTTTGCTTGGTAGAGGACCAGTGGCAGAATGAAAAACATTTTGCTGTAGAGCCGAGAAAGAACTGCACCAAAATGCATGTCGCATATACCACATTATTTTATATGTTGAGGGGGGGGGGGGGGGGTCGCTGTGTGGG